TGATGTCCCCATAATAGGGGCTTGTGGATGAGAAATCAGAGAGCCATATAGGGAGGAGGTCAGGGCTGCAATAAGACCTGTGGATCGAGAGCATCAACAGAGTAGTCATGCTTGCAGCATCTGGCTTGGAGTCCTGTGGTTTAGCTTAGAAAGGCACGAATAGAGCTCAAGGTAAGGTCAGAAATGAGATAGCGAGGGATCTTTCTGCCACACAGAGTTGTGAAGTGGCGGGATGGGAGTGAGATTAGTCAAGATGGCATGGGATGAACTTGGCTTCATCAGCTTTGTCCAGCCAGCCTTGCCCCCAGTGGGTGACGGGTACAGTTACTTTAGGGATGTTCTGCAGTCAAAGGGCAGGTCTTTCGGTTGTTTTTAGTGACTGTCCAGTGGCTTAATAGCTGGCAGAGCAGAGCTAACTGCAGGCTCTCTCTCCCGTCTATTTGGACAACAAAAAGCCTCATTGCACAACAGTGTGTGCATAATTCAGAGCAGGAAGCAGGGTAGGTTGGTAGCGGCTAATCCTTCCCTAGCTCTGTTATGCTAGCTGACTCTATTTGAGCTTATTTTTAGCCTAAGTCTCTCCCTAGGCCCCATTAAAGTCACAATCTGAGCATCTTTCAATGTATTGGACCTGATAACATCTGTACAAGGCAAAGGCATGGGGACACTGTGTAACTTGCCCCAGGCCACAAAGGAAATGCGGAGCACAGGAAGGAACTGCTGGTTCTTAAATGCCAGCTCATTTGGCCTCTCAGCCCCAGAGACTTTCTCCAGTGTGATCAAATGTTTTTAACCAGCTGCTGCAAATTGGGTTGAATTCAGGGGACATTAACGACATATTTCAGACCAGGTACAGGCACTGGGTGTAACTTCTACTAGACTGTAGAAAATACTGTATGCTCTAATCCTTATTCACAGAGATAATGAACACTAGCTAAAACTACCAGTAGCAAGTACAGCATCATAACAATAGTATAAGCAACACTTTTCTTTTACTCTGAATGTCTATCTGTCATATTTCCTACCATAAAAATCATACAAAAGCAGTTACTCTAGATCAGAGTTGCTTTACTTTTCTCATCTGTAAGATGCAACCTCACTGGAGAATTGTATGTTTACATTTAGTCCATAATGCAACTGCAGCCTTTGGAAAAGTGCAGCTGCTGCCCTCAGAAAAAAAGAAAGCATCCATTTTATTGTCCAGCTTTTTATTGTTTAAATAAATGAATTGCAGTTTGATTCTGGAGGAATAGAAACCTCTTACATACATGATGGATTGAGCTGTTTAAAGAGTTGGTCCTCAATTTTAAGCTTTTTGATAAGTGTGGAAAAGATAGGAGAAGAACTGATAGTACTGCTCAGCCAGTAATGTCAAGAAGCAACTTGCTTGGGGAAAAAAAATAGCCTTGTTTTTTCAAATTAATGTTGTGCCTGTGTGTCACCCAATAAACAGCTCTTAGGCCTTTTTCTCAGCACCCAGTGAGTAAACCAACCTTCAGCCAGGGCTTGCATAGTTGCGTGATGTCAGATCATCTCTACCGACAGAGCATGCTGCTGACAGAGGGTGCAGATCAGAGCAGGAGGGACCGAGTCCTGTTTATGTTTGTTAGGGGTTTACAAGGCAGGAGGGGACACCAGCCTTTCTGTCAACGTGCAGTTGCAGCACTTGGGAAAACAGTCCTCTTCCTGGTCCTGCCCTGGCCCAGCCCAGGTTCTGACCCACAGTCGAGTCATTTATCTGCCCCAGTTGGCCACCTCCTAATCCTTCCCAGAATTTAGAGGTTGTTTTCGAGGCTCTCTGTTGGCGACCTGAATGAAGAGTGCAGTTTTGTGCTATTGCAAGTGCTGTGTCAGGCACCCATCAAGCAGCAGTGAGTTCCACCGGTTAGCATGGTGTTGGTCCGGAGGGGCTTCCTACCCTGCTCTTTACTGTGTCTATCCCAGTCATAGCCTCTCCCAGTTGCACCTTCTCTAAACTATTTAATCTCCCCGACCTCCAGCACTGCATGCAAAAATTCCAGATATATCCATGGAGAGGATCTATCTCCAGATAAATCCAGAGGAGAATCACTCAGCAGACAATAGTGGACTCCTTCCAGAATATGTAAGGAGAAGAAACTGGGAGGATGAATAGTCACTTCAGCCTGTAAGGGTGTAGACGTCAGGTCTCAATCACCAGAGCATGGGAAAGTCCCCGTTTGGCTTCATCAGGAAACTCCTAAATGTTTTGCTCCAGCAAGTAGACATCATTGCCACGTGGGACCAATATGCTATAACACAGGTAAGCAGCCCTGATTCACGCTAAAGACTTTTGACACCTCTCTTATTTTCAGAGTTGAATGTGTTTGACCTCTCCAGAAGCTGGAAGAGGCTGTGTCTCACCCAGCATCCCTGGGGACTCCAATGGCTCTGGTGCTAGCTGACATGCTTTGGCCATTACCCTACAGCTACACTCCCAGTATCCAGAAAGGACCACTGTAGCCAAAATGCTTGTCGAGAAAGGCCACTGGATGTGGACATACCTGACTATCTGGGAATTGTTTCAGAAACTGAGCACTGGGCAGCAGTGTGTCAGGGACCTTCCTACAGTGCAAGAAGATGAGGCCCTTGGCTGGAGAGGTCATGAAGATGGTCACTCATGCAGAAAACAACCTGTCTGGGAGATGTACAGCTGTATGAACCCCCTTTTCAGTGACTAAGACTCCGGAGGTTTGCAAAAGCCGGAATAAATCACCCCATGTGTCTCATATCCTCCCTCTGCCAATAACCAGACTCAACTCATATGAGGAAGGTGGTTCATTCTGGGTTTTCCTTCAGGGGAAACTCCTTCCCTGATTCCTACAATTAGCAACTTGTTAACTGCCTTGCGTCCCAAGGATTGATGTACTTTTCTCTTTCACAATAGCAGACAGTGTCATTATCTTCTGACATCTCATTGACTTAATCCAAAATTTGATATTGGCCCTTGTCCCATGGCTATAGGTCCCCCAGATGACTCATCTCCATGAGGTGAATGCTTGTTATTTCAGCCCATGGCTCTGCACGTCCTTTGCAGCTCCAATAGTTCTTAGGGTATGAGAGGAAAACAGGGCTCTTGGCCAATCTCCCTCCCCCTTTAGTCCTCCACCCACTGCTGTCCTGACTTCATAGCATCTTGACTTCATGGGTCCAACCTGTCTTGTCACTCCCACCTGGGACTCTCCAAGGCCCATCTGTACACTCTGCTGACAGCGGCTTTGTCTCTTTTTGTTGTATATTGGGAGGAAGCACTTGTGATACAGTGGCCTTCTCCAGAATGTTTTCTACCTTGTTTTTCAGATGTCTTCACATACATGTTGCTTGGAGGTCTTATTTGAGAGTTTCTTTCAGGTTTATATCCATAAGTTTATATCCATAAAATAAACTATCTGGAGAAGGCAAACTATAATTTAGACTCTATAAGTACATAGAGGACCTGTAACTGTATAGGAGAGATGTTAAAACTATAGAGTCTGTCTTGCATGCAGACAACTCATTGATACCAGCAACAGAGAGGGCTTGATACAGTTTTCCACATATTTGGAGCCTGCGTGGTTGCCACATTCATCACACCAGTAAAAGTGGGCAAAACATGATGATTGTATCAGTGCCAGAGGTTGCACCAAGCCACTCCTTCATCAGATGTGAACCAAATCTTCTACATGTGATGAGTGGAGAAAGCCACTCTGGTTTCAGCAAGGATTCCCAGGAAGGGGGAAAGATCAGTGGGTAAAGAAGGGAAATCCCTATTATAAGGAAGGGAACAAAGAATTCTGTGGGTATCCTCATGACCTCAACAAATCTTCAGGAAACACCAGTCTCACCCTACTCTTCAGCACTCCTAGCTCTGTCCTGAGAGCATCTCAGCAGGAGAGGGGTCAGCTCCATCCCTTTCCCTAGCTCCCCTGCTCTTGTTTTCCTTTGTTTTTTCCCTCCACTTGCCTCCTCTCCACCTCTCACTGACCGTATCTCACCTGGGTGTGGGAGTGAGTCTGTGCTCACCTCCACAATCAAGGTACCCAGAAGGGAAAAATGGAAACTCTGATGTTTACTTTCTCCAATCTCCCTGGTCTGCTAGACAACCCCACAGGACCTCTTTAACCTTGTGACGGGACCTGTGTCCCAGACTGTGGCATGGGGAATGGGTCAAAGAGGAACTTGGCAAAGAAAGCTTGAGAACCTGCCTGTGGAAGATGAGGACCTTCAGGGGATGCCACTATGGGCAGGATGGAGACCTGAAATCCTTGGTTGACCAGGACACCATGGGGACAGCCTTTCCACTTCACTCTGATGGTTATTGCCCACCATGGTGCTCCAGGTACCTGCATGTGCCCTCCTGTCCACCACCCCAAAGATGCTACAGCTATGGGAAGGTGTATGAATGGCTGTGTACGCACATGTAGCAGGGAAGGTGAACACAGCTTTTGTCTTGTATGGTAGCTAACAAGGTGCAGGGTCTCAGGGGCGCTAGGTCACAAGCAAGTTCCCCTTCAAGCGTAATTGCTCTTCATAGGTTTTCTTGGCGTATGTGGCCTCTAGTTTATCATAAATCAGAGCCCCTCAAGCTTTGGAGGTACGGTTGCCACCTCTCTTCTGCTCTGCCATGGCACCTCTTAGCACATATCACCGTTACGCAGCAATGACCAAGGTTGAACATTGGCCAGATATGCAACACACCCACCTGCAGTTGCTGCTGGGTGCAGAAATACATGAGTAAGTGATATACAGGTAACACACTCACACTTAATTCAGAAATAAGTATATTTTAGGTGTTATGCAGAGAGCGTGCACACATATTTTCTTATCTGGTAGCACTACAGCAATACAATAACAATGAAGAAGAAGCTATCATACGGCAAAGATCTACCATCAGCTCCAAGGATGCTGTGTGCCCAACACAGCGCATTGCTCCCGGTTACAATTCTTGTCATAAGGTGGGGTGCTCCCAGACTTTCTGTGGTCGTAGGAGTCCTTTTTGCTCCTCACAGTCTGTTGTTCAGGAAGATCCAGAGCACACTGGCTGCTATCCCTGCTGCCATCCCATAGCTACACCTCACACTGCCCACTGCGTTGACATTGCAGAGGTTGCTGCTGCAGCAGGAGATATTCCTGTTGCCTACGCTGAAGTCCTGATAGAGTGATTCACACGACGAGTCACAGCCCTTGCTGATGATGTTGAAGAGCCCTATGACCCCTGGAAGGAAAGCAGGAGCGTTACTACAAGGACTCAATGCAAGCCAAGCCAAGCCTCATGGAACTGAATAATGAGATGCTATTCTTATCTGAGCTTACTTCTTGGAATAAAAAAAAAAAAAAGAAAGTTTCCAAACAGCTGCATGTTTTACTGTAGTAGGTTGTATTTTTGAGGTGTCAGTTTGTCAGCAGCAGGGGGAAGGGTTCCAATCTCCAAGTGTTTGCTTAAGGCAGTGTATTTCACAGCACAAGTCTCAGGGGTTTCTAAAACAGCACTAACTACAGAAAATTAAATAATTTAATTAATAATGAAATTAGCCATTAACACCTCTGTTGGGGAGCCTAAGCTACTAATGGATGAGGAGCAAGCATGTGGGGTAATCTTTGCCCGTATCCCATACATCTTTGTTGCATGGACACTTTCAACTCCCAGGGAACTTGTGGAAGCATCGCTATGCCCATTTCACAGATGACAGAGTTATTGTTTGCTTTGTTTCTGAGAGGCACAGCCCATTTTTCTGTGGCTGGTTGATACTCAGCAACTGCTGGTTACCAGCAGATTACGGTCTGCATGAGATCCCTCGATCTTGCACAACCTGTTCTGGGCACCAAGTCTTTGACATATGCAAATTCAGTGTATAGGGCCAGTGGGTTATACAATGTGTTGGCTCTCCTGCATGTGACGGCATGGTCATGGCTTTGCACATTTCTGACAAGGACAATGCCTACTGGAGGTATTGCATGTACCACGTGACAGAGATGAGTTTGAACATGCCACCAATGAGTTTTGTGACCCAGGTCTAAGAGCAACTGAGCTGTCACTGCAGATCTGGACAGGGCAAACATTTTTTTTTGCTAGATCTAGAGTGGAAGAACTGAATCATAGTCTGTTAAAGAAGTTTACCCAGAGACACACAGATGGCTGCATTCAGAGCTGGCATTCAGAAGGGTCTAGGTGAAATTCTGTCCTTTTCATTGAATTCACCTAAAGTCAGCTCTGTCATTGAATGCTGCTCCTAACTTCATGACTAGGTTTCACCAGACTCAGCCCCTCACATTTTAATCCGTGTTCCAAACTTTTCAAAGCTGTAAACCTAACTATTGCCCTTCTAAGTAAATAATTTTTGGTGTTATGAAAGAGAAATAAACCCAGTTTTGTACAGGTGAGAGACGTTGGTAGGTAATTGCAATATGAAGTGCAGCTGCACCCTCCTGAGATTCATTCCAGGCACTGGCACTGTACTGACCGTACTGCTCAGTTTTTATCATAATCTGTTGGCAAACACTGAGGAATTTATGGGGTACAGCATGCACACGCTAATATGACTTCGTAATCACACTCTTGTGGCCAATGTGGGGAGAGGACTTTGTGATGGTCAGTACCAATAGCAAGGGACCAGTTGTCACCAAGGGATAAACATTTTTCTTCTGTTATTTCTACTTAACATGAAAGTCATCTGAAAGCTTTTTTATCACCTTTTCTCCCCAAATGGCTTTTCTCTTCCTGCTGCACACTGAACTTTGCTGTCCCACACCAGCTGGTGTATCTAGAGTAGGTGAGGCTGGCTTGGACACCTGACAGTGGGACCATGCTTGGCTCCAACATCACAACTAAGATATTGCCCACCACCACTTTGCCTTACGGATCACATCTGTCTTGCATGTTTCCTTCTCCTTGCAGTCCACTTTTGTCTGACACTTGGAGTTGCTGAGCTGTGATGTGCAGCTGTAACACTGCAGAGAAGAACCTGCAAGAGATCAAGAGGGTTTATAAGACAAATATATCCGAAGCTCTCCAGGGAACCCAACTTAGTTCTTGCACTGGGAAACAGGACCATTTCTATGGGCCCTCAAAGGAAGATAGCAGCTCTTTTATTGGGAAAACAATGTTTTTTCCATTTTCAGTGGAGAATAGTACACTTGCTTGAGGTGAGAGTCAAGTTTTGCAAGCGCTGAAGGTGTTTCAGATGTAATCAGTGCAGTGAGGGAGCAAAAAGTCTCGTCATTTAATAGGAAGTTCTTCCCAAATGCTTCTTCCTCTGCATTTGGGATGCCAAACTCAGTTCCTGCCTGAAATAGGCTTTTTGTGCTATTCCCACCTCCTGAGCTTGTCCTTTACCCCAGAAGGACAGGTTGATATCATCTTTCTGTCTCTATAGACATGTTTCATCTGGTGGGTTTGTGAGCCTTAGCTGAGACATTTCCAGGATTGGATGAAAGAGGGAACGCCCAGAGGGAGAAGAGGGCGAGGAAGGGATGGAGTAGGCAATTTGCAAGGTCTCTTCCATCCTGTTGTCTCAGTTTGACCAACTTATGACACATACTGTCCATCACCCCCTCTTAGAAAGCAAAGTGCAAACACAGCTTTTGCCTCCATCTGAAAACCAGGTCACCACGTGTTTCCACCCCCTCACAGACATGCCACTCTATGGGGGATGCAAGTCAGTCTTGTTAACATCTGCTGCGCTGTTATGGGCATCAAGCAAAGGCAGAATAAGCATTGCAGCTTACAGATGTCTAGCTCTGATGAAAAATAATCCCCAGAGGAGTAAGAGCATGGTGCAATTACCTGTTTCTATTATCTACCCATGCCCCGGGGCATCACTGGAGCTTTTCAAGTGTGAGAGTTAATGTATATAGATATACTTTAACCTCATGACCACCAGGCTTGTATCATGAATCCCTCAAGTCAAGACCCTAATGCCTAAAATACATTTTAGGACACAGAAAAGCCCGATTTAGAAATTAGCGTTATTCAGAACAGGAACAAGAAGTGATTTGAGGCACTTAGTCTCCCTCTGTCCAAGCCGTTCTGGTATGAATGACTGATGCAGTCACAGAGGCAAGCAGCCAAACCCCAGTTTGTCTGTAGTGCTGCACTCTGCTCTGACGTTTATCTGACTTTTAATGCAATGAAAGTCGAATTTGAGAGTACTCTGATGGAAGCTGGCAGAGGAGAAGATCTGGCCAGGACTGTACAAGACCCTTCTCAGCCTATTCCTTAAGCATCCTCTGTTGATTAAGAAACTTTTCTGCTCTGATCTGTTTCTTCTGTTCTCTGGTAATAGGGAAAAGATGGTTTAAAACTACTTTTTCCCAGTAAGGCTAGAAAAACCTGACAGTGTCCGAATTCCACCCATCCGGTTTATAAAATAACATGCCATCTTTTTCTGTCCCATTGAAATTCTGACAATCCGTGCAGCGTCAGAGGCCATTTTGAAATGCGGAGTCGGAAAACAAGTTGGAACAAAACTTACCTTTGCAGAAAAGTTGCATGATAGCCTGGGAAGAAGGAAAATAATTCTCCCCCCCCTCCCCCCCTAACACCACCCCCCATCCCCATAACTATATGGTCTGCCTTAAATAACTTTGATTTCAATTAAATTCAATTTTACATAAGATTTATCTTTCCAAGAAGTTGCTCTACCCAGCACTAGGATCTCACCGTCGGCAGGGTGGGAGTTTGCATTTTTTTCTATGCAACACCCAGGACATCCCATCAAAAAGCAAATATCTTCATATGACAACTGTGTCAGCGTTTCTTCCCTCACTGCCAAACCCCATCACAAGTCTTTTCTCCTAGCTGAAGATTTGCTGGAGGCGATGCGGGGCAGACTCTCCATGCTGTCTTACCTGAGTCCAAGCACAGGACTGCTCCCAGCAGGAGGACAAAGAAAGCCTTCATTTTGGAATAGCCTTTCTTGTGCTGAATATGGCTGGTTTCCTCGTGGGGTGGTTTATATACCGTGGGAGGCAGCAATCGGGCATGCCCAGAAGGTTACCCTCTGAAGGCACCTGAGCGAGGCTGCTCGCTGGACCAAGAGAGGGGTTGGTTTGTGGTGGTGATATTTGCGTTAAGTGCCTCTCCTATCTGACCGTGACTCTTGGAGTTACCAGCAGCTCCTCTCCACGGCTACGCCCCTGCCTTTCCTCCTACCCTTGGGCAAAGTGTTCACACGAGTGGCAAAAAAAGCCCAAATTCTTTAGAACAAGGCTGGCCTTATGTATTTTGCCAGAGCCAGCTAGGCTGCAGTTGTACCCTGCGAACAAGGCTCTCCACCCCCATTGCTATCCTGAGTGGACCGATTGTGTTTAAATTAAGGACAAAATGTTCTTTTAATAAACACCTCCAGCTAGTTATCTGCATGTGTGTCTCTGTGACACTCGTGGCATGTGGTAGCAAGGTATGTGGGCAAAATAACACTGCATTGCCCTCTTCCAGGTGTCCGCATGCTCACTTGCCCTTATTTGTATGTATTGTCTGTAGTCTAGCAAAAGACAATGATCAATTCAAATTTTTTATGTGTTGAAACCAAAGGGACTTTGTGATGGCTTTGTTTGGTATTGTTTTTATCTGCCACATCTGCACTGTGACATACTTCGCTTTGTCTGCCAGTCTCTCTGTCTAGTACAGGTTGGGTACGGTTTTGACACTTGAACTCGCATTAATGTATACTGTAACATCTCAGGCTTGTCAAAGAAATGCCACTTCTCATCACAGATGAGGGTGAGTCCAGCCACATTCCAAACTGAAGTGCGAATGTTTGCTTTGGTGGGTTGATTGGAGACCTCTCCCATCCCTCGCGTCCTTTGGCCACTTCTCAGTACGCACTAGCGTGAAAGAAAACAAGCCTTTCTTCTAAATTCAATTTGCCATGGTTTCTGGCTTTATTTAGGGTTTTTCTTAAATCTCAGGAACTTAGTGTTTTGCAGCAATAGCCTGCAGGGACTTACTCTGGTGCAGTTTAGCTGTTAGGACACCAGGCACCTTTTCAAATTGAAAGGAAGGTGTGCTGGTGTGTTGGTGGGCCATTGCTCTTGGCAAGGGACTGTGGGATGAAGGATGGAAGGTCAGTCAGCCTAAGTCTGCTGAAGTTAACGGCACTACCCTGATTTACACCACTGGAGAAATTGGTCCAGGGGATGATTTTGAAAATTCTGTTTCCTCTGCAGGGATTTTAAGTACTTTGCCTTGCATTCTGTTTAAAAAGAGTAAAACCAACAACCCACCACCTTCTTTCTGTGTCTATTGGCTTTTGCTTCATCATATTTTTGCAGACCATCTCATTTACAGGCAACTTTTATGGAACAGCTGGATAAAAAAAGTGGCAATATGTTCTCAGACTCCAGTGTTCCTTATTCAGAGATGTTTAAGGCTATTTTTCTTTTTTAATCCCTTATGATTGTCCCTGTAGGGTTTGGGTTTTGTGTTAGGGAAGAATAGGGCCAAGGGAAAAGCATAACCTGGTCACCCCATCAAATCCACTCAGACCTTGAATTAAATATTTCTTCCTTCAAGCAACTCATTGATAAGCAAAAGGGAGTGCTCTTTTCATCCTCAGCAACCTGACTTGCTGCCAGTCAAACTTTCCTAGCACTATTATTCTTTTTATTCTTTTTCTAACAGCATCAAGCTGCCAGTGAAGACCAGGACTCATGGTGCTGTAAAAGAGATGCACACAGCTAAGAGCTGAAGCCCAAGACTGTGTGGGAACTCAGTAATTCCTGTATTTCCTATATCCTTACATCAATTGGTGCTTCTCACTGTTTTTTTGAGCATTTGTGTGCAGTTTCTGCTTCACTCCTGAAGATGGCAAACGTGCCCTGTTATAATTGTTACACATACATTAACATGCAGTTGTCCATAGGATTGTGTGTGCATGGGATTTTTTATTTTCCTGATGTTATAAAATCCCAAGTTCATGAACAAGACCATCTTTTTCCCCTGGGAATCCAAGGATGTCTACAAATCATTTGGGTTTTGGTTTTTTTTCTAAATACTATTTTACATGGTCAAAACATATTCCTGACGGATACATGTCTGGAGCTTTCTGTTGAGGAGGGAGGGGAAAAAAACTGGATTATTTGCTGTAGGCTGGTTCACCTGCCTGGTGTCAGGCTGGGAAAGTGGTGGTGGATGGTGGTACAGAGCATGGTGTCATGGATCGCACTGAGGAGCTGGATAACAGCGGTAGGCATGAGCTGGAAATTTGAGGACAAGAATGGCAATAGGTAAAATGATGCCTGGGAAATCTGAACAGAGATACTGAGTGTCTCTGACGGCAAAAGAAAGGTGCTCCAATTTCCTGGGCTGGGTCAACTGTTTGGCTAGGCGGTCTGAAAAGGCTGTAAGGAAGTCTGCAAGATGACAGAGATAATGTGTTAAGACTTCAGTTGCAGACTACCTTTTTTCATGGGGATGTCTTTTACGAGCAGAAGAGAAAAAAAAAAAAAAAAGCAGAACCCAGCAAAGAAGAAAATAAGAAGAATTACCACACACTCATTCAAGCTCTTGAATGAATTGTAGTCCTTGAAAGAGACGGATCATTATGGGATCCTGCAGAGTCTCCAACCTCCAAGCTCAGAGGTTTAACACCTTCTCAGATCCCTTAATTCAAGCCAGAATTAAGTGCAAGAACAAGAGGAGATGCTGTCCAAGGCTGCCCGGCCCTGAAGAGAGGTCACTGCGTTGCTTGCTCAGCATAAGTGTGGCTTGCAGCTCCTTTTCAGGATGTTTTGAAGTGTGTGGAGGTTACAATGGGCTGCGGAGGGAATCTTACTGACTTTTCCACTCCTGGAAGGTGTCTGGTAGGTGTGCCGTGGATGAACTGGTGCTGTCTGCAGTGATATCTGCAAATCTGCTCAGGCTATGAGGATGTGGGATGTATGATAACAGATTTTAGTGGTCAATTTTAGGCATCAAAATGGGAGTTTCTAATGGCTGCACAGCTGTGTTTGTGGGAACGTAAGCAGCCTCAGGAGCAGTGAACTGTCCTGAGTCAGAAGGGGTGGGGAATAAATGACACCGAGTCCCTGGATGGCAGTGAGGCAAATCGCATTACAGACTTGTCTGTAAGGAGGGAAGCGCGGATCCTGAATGAGGCATGTGGTTGGATAAACAGGAAGACAGATGGGTAGACAAGGGGAGAGAAAGATTTTAAGATGAGTAGATATACAGATGTCCACAGAGATGGATGGATAGCTAGCAGTCAGGAGGAGCTGGAGTAGCTAGTCCTATGTACTCCCTTCTAGCTATGTGATTAAAGGCATGATTTTGCTCTGCTTGTGGCAAAAGGCCGCAGTATGTCCTCTGTTTCAGCCTAAAGTATTTCTTATCAACCTCTCAGCTGTTTTCCACTCTCTCGTGCACATGTCTTGGGATGGACAGCCCTGACACTGGACCAGCAGCAGAAAACATGATTCTTGCTGTTCCAGGGCTGCCAGCAGAGATAGGCTCCAGCTGCCACATCTATAGATGCTCGAAACTCTTTCATGTCGTGGTCTAGCTCACACTACAAGGATTTACTTGTAGGTAAGCTTCAGAGCACATGGAAGAAAGGCCAAGCTGCCTGAGACATCTTCCAGAGTCCAGCAACGGAGACTGGAGCCATCATTAAGAGCAGAACATCGAGCAAAGACAGAAAGGTTTTGGGGTCTCTGTCACTGGGCTGCTGAGGGACCTTTGGGATGTGCCTTCCCTTCTCTGTGCCTGTTCTTCCTCTAATGGCAAATAAGGCTCATGACTCCTGCATCACAAGGGAAGCGTTTTGAGATCTGTGGGTGCGAACAAGCGTAACTAGTGAGCATTATATAGATTTAATAAGCGAGCAGGCTGTTTGACCTTGAGTATTTCCACAAGGGTCCAGGCACAGACCCAAGGATCCATCTATTCCCATTCGGGATTTCAGAGGCTAGCCTGACGAACCTTGGAGGAAAATTTCACCTTCGCATCACACACTTTCTTGCTGACAGCCATGAAATCAACGCATTGCTGCAAATTAATCCCACCACGGTGCTAAACTTGTCTGCGGAGCAAGCTGTAGATGGACAAGATTCTGAGGGCTGTAGAACAGAACCCCATACGGTGGTGCTGTTGCTGCGTTGCTGATGCACAGATCTCTCGGTGTGTGGGAGCAGCCCAGACTGTTTGTTTAAAATCTCAGCAACTTCAGAGCATCAAAAATGCATTTGACATTTTTTTGTTATTTTGCTAATTGCTAAGCTCTTTTGGTTGTAAAAGACTTGGAGTGTGGGATTCCTGCCAGCTTTTGCTGGCGATGCCTTGTGCATCTCCCGAGTTGTTTGCAGGAAAAAAGGAATGCATTTTCCTATGCCTACACTTCGGAATTGGGATGAAGTGTGGGGACAGTAGCCTGTGCTGTGATCACAAAGCAGTTCTGTGCTTGCTTTGCCATCGCAAAACACTTTCTTACCCCCTCACATACCAGGCATTGCAGTTTCCTATGGACAGAGGTAGTAAACGGTAGTTTGAAACATGGGCAGAAAACATGACTTTCCTGAGATCAGACAACAGGGCAACACCAGACCTCAGACCAGGACTCTCAAGCACCCTAGCTGCTACCTAGTCTGTGTCCCTTTCCTTCCATCAAGAAAATTATTCAATTTCTTTGGTCCCTATAGGACACCACAGAATATCGGTGGGGAAGAACCTGAGATTTCCAGTCCAGTTACTGCAGATAGACAAGGGTAGACCTGATGGCTGGATGCACCAAACCCCTTATAGGGATGGGATGGGCATGGATTTTTTCCCCATGTGGAGGTGGATGCATTCAATACATGACCACTTATGGTCTCTCTTTTGTCCTTCTTGACCTCATTTTGAGGCCAGCACTCTTGGATGGTACTGCTTATCCCACTTTAACACAGTTTAGGGAAGAAACTTTG